CCCACAGTGTGTGAAGGGCATCACGCTGACCTGCGAGTGTGGGAGTGTGTGTGTGTGTGTGTGTGTGTGTGTGTGTGTGTGTGTGTGTGTGTGTGTGACCCCAGGATTTTCGGTTTGCTGTGGCATCTCATTTATTCTTCCTCCACAGCAAAACACCAACAAAAAAGCGGTAATAAAGAGTAGCTCCAGACAGATTAGATATCAGAATAATCTCCACTGARTGTGTTTACCTTGCTCTCAGGCTGATCTGATGCAGCAAACCGAAGGTCCTTGCTAGTGTTTCTCCGCCCACAACGCGTCACTCATCACCATCGCTGCGAGCGAACGCCTCTCTCTCTGCCATGTTTGTGTCCTGGTTGTGAAGTAAAACATTTTTTTTAAGCACAGGGGCTTGTTTTTAGTGATTATGCGGATGGCGTATTGAAGAATAAATGCAGCCCACGTTTTAGTCGTCTGATTTTAAGCAAGAAGTACCTTGCACCATGTCAACCAATGCTCAGGGTGAGTAAACAGCGTTGTTTTTTCCCCCCCCCTCTCAATGCTAAGTTAGCTGTAAGCTAAACAGCGCTAGCGTGGTTAGCTGCTCTCCTGCAGGCCTGTTCAGTCGAATATCCAAGGTTTGACGCTAGAATGTAAGTGGAGATAAAAAATCACATTATATTAGTTTTGCGGCTGAGTTGGTAACGTTCAAAGCGTCCAAAAGCAGTGAAATATTTGTGTCTGCTCAACCTACATTAGCCAAATAACAACGGAGGGTTAGCGCTAGCTAGCTAGCTAGCAGAGGGGTCCTCCTGCGCACACGACGGTCTTTTAAATTACGAGATTTAGTTTTGTTTGTCAGTGTTTTTTTCCCCAGACCTTTACTGTGTAATCTAAGACTTTAATTGTTCGTCACAGTGATTTTCAGTCTGATACAAGACGGTCATATAATGTAATTTTTGGTGTTGCATGTAACACAAGTTAACATGATGTTCGTTTGTAACTTATTGAGAAATCACAGAGACCGTTGCCACGGTTTTCATGTTGCAGTTTACAATACAAGTAATAAACTTTTCAGAATGTAATCTTGTTTATTTATTAAAGGAAAGTGTGCTCAGCACGTTGATGCTTTTCCGTGTTTATCACTGTTTTGCATCAAGTTGACCTGCAGGATTTGGTAAAATAATAACATGCTTAGAAGACCAATGTATCTATTAGGTTTAAAAACATTAATAGTCTTTCATGCAAGTTTCATACTCAAACACAATACTAGATTCAGATTAAGTTTGAAATTTGAATTTTAATATCTCTTACAATCCTTTATGACATCTAACAATGGTGGCAACACAATGTGAAAATTTACCAAAGACAAAAAAGGTATTTATTATATGTGGTGGGCCTTTATGAGTCACTTTAAGTTTGTTAGCCTAGAATAAAWATTTATTTCCGTTCGTAAATCTCTCATTTTACTAAGGCAGCATGATGGCTCAGTGGTTAGCMCTGATGCCTCACAGCAAAAAAGGTCCTGGGTTCGATCCCCGGTTCGGACCTTTTTCTGTGCGGAGTTTGCATGCTGTTTTTGTGTTTGCGTGGGTTTTCTCTGGGTACTCCGGTTTCTCCCACCCCTAAAAACATGTACAATACCTTCAGGCCCACGCCTCCCTTGAAAAAGAGATCTGAGATCTCAACGGGACTTGCCTGGTTAAATAACGGTAAATAAATTGTTGAGCAGGTTTGAAAAGGCCACCAGGTGGGTACAGGTGCATTGGCATGCAGTTTCTTTTCTCATCTGCCAAAGTCTGGGCATAAAGTCACTAAACTATTGTAAGTATCCAGCAAAGAACCATTTTAAAATAAACTTTCAGGCACTTTGTTACCAGCAGCTTGTCACAAATTGTTCACTTTCTTCAGTTAAATCTATAAAAACTAGAAAATATGTTTAATGAGTATSAAGTCATATTTTAGCTACATGAGAGTTTAATCTTCAAGACTGGTGTACACTATGATCAGTTGAAGGATAATGCAACTCTCAGATTCTGTGTCAGATGTTGATGGGTATTTAAAAAAAACACTGTTTTTTAAGTCTTGATGTGAGAAGGCAAGAGCTTCTTCCCCTTCCCATAAGGCATGAACACACCCAGATATGTAGACCCCGTTGTGAATGACTGGTCACTAATTTACCRTTCTTTCAATAGTTTTATCTCACTCTTGGGAAAAAAGTAAACAACAGGTTTAAACAGTGGAGAAATCTCTGGTTCAATCTCAGTCTGTTGTGTTCAAAAAGCAACGTTTTTCTTCTGACATTTTGTTCCCCTTGTTCAGTTTGTAACAACTATTTTTGACCAGACCATGTTGAGCTGTATATGTAAACCAGTATTGTTAGTATGTGCTAATTTTTCACGTTTTCCCATATGCTGCTATTATATTCTGTTTTCATCTTAAGTATGTTGTTTACAGTTGTATACCTAATTCTAACACCTGATTAGTACCAGATGATATTTTTAGGGTTTCATACATAAATTAACTTTATATTTCAACAGAAGATTAATTTTTTCTGCTTATATCAAATGATTGATTTAATGCTGGTGAATACCAGATACATTTTTAAGGCTACAAAAGTTACAAAAATTTTGTACTGTAACACAACARGAGGCAACATTTATCTTTTATCCTTGTCTCAAATTTACATGATGTTTTGAATTATAAAGACAGTTCCTGAATTATCAGTAGACATTTTAACAGATTGCAAGAGATTTAATTTTCAGTGTCAGATTGGTGGTTTTGGCATAGCTGCAAGTCGTTCCTAGTTCCTATGGAAGCACAAACACAGTTTCCTTTGGGGTATGCGTGTGTTTGAAATACATGTTTAAGTCCCWATTGGTTACGAGCAGAGTTTGCCATGACTTTAAGACGCCATATTCTACTTTATGGATAAAAAACCTTGGGTATATATTAGGGCTGCACCGATTAGTTGAAATAATCGATGATGTYGATTATGTAAATTTGTCRACGCAGAKTTTTTATTATCGATTCGCTRTATTACATAACCACCACGTGAATGTTCATGCAATTCCATTTCWGTAAATAAATGCATCATTGYGACCGTATTGGCATAAGAGTGGTGAGTTTTCCATGCTTGTCCTGAACGCAGCATCGTGCAAGAGCGTAATGACGTCAGCAGCTGCTGCTTCAGTTCAGTCTGAAGCTTGAAAACAAGCCTCGCAGCTCCTGGAGTAAAATTTACCAAACAGACCGCCTCTGAATTATCTGGTGGATTAATTATATTGTGAACATGACGTTTGCTTGCTCAAAGTAAATAAAGTACMGCCACTTTCTTTATTTCGTCCACCATTAAACAGAGACCGGTGTTAGGTCGAGCCACGTTCCCCAATCAGACGGTTCCCCCAGCRTCTCAAACAACAGAGGAGCTTCCCGACACACGTCTGACCTAAAGAGCACAAGCAGCCAACAAGTGTTGGACGTGTTCTGGATGTTCAAAACATGGCTTAAATACCTTTTATTAATTTTAACTGCATCCTCTTTTGTTTATTTGATTTAAACTTATTTGCCTTCCATGGACCTCCATCACACATTTTTCTAGTGGGGAAATGACATCAATAGAAATACGTGGAGCTGGATATTAATTTGTGTAATAAGACAAAACAGTCTTGTTGTTTTCAACAGTTTTCACCTTAAAGAAATAAGTTGCACAACTGATGTTACAATACAAAGAGTTGGATGTTGTCTTGATATTTGTTAAATTTTGTATATTGAGAAGTATGTTAAATAAAAAATAATAAATAAATGTTTATTAAATGTTTATTATAGGTTTTCCAGAGAGTCACTTGAATTTTGCATGATTTAGGTCATTTGTTAGATTAACATCTTGCACTATATTTCTTTAAGTTGAATTTTATTTGCTTTGGTTGAGATTTTATGTTGATGTTAAATCTTTTAAGCTTTTTTTGTTAAAGAATTGACTCTAGAGTGCATATTTTGTGTCCATGAAAAAACTATTACAGAGAATATTACAATATTAAAGAACTGTTCTTGTCAATTTGATGAAAACATTTTAAATWTCCAGTGCACTCACATCAGAATAACTTTTAGATTTGTTGTTAGAATAATTGATTAATCGAAAAAATAATCGTTAGATTAATCAATTAGAAAATAATCGTTTGGTACAGCACTAGTATATATTAGGGGTGGTAATCTTTTACTATATCACAATTGGATTCGGATTTTTGGGGCCACAATTCGATTTAAAATTGATTTTTTTTTAATTAAAATCTGATAATGTAAGCCCATTTGTTGTGTTCCCAAAGTGCTTCATCTTCATTTTACAAACTTTGTGTACAGTGAAGCTCATGTCAAACTTGAACTTTTTCAGTAAAAGCCAAAATGAGTCCAAATCTTTGCAGTCAGTGAAGATGGGATCAGTTGAAGCTCTCTTTCCTCCAATTTTGTAGTTTCCTCTTTGTTTTGGCGCTTTCTGTGCATGCATTATCTTCCAGAACCAGCTGCAAGGTGACATCAGGACGGCCCACGTAGTTATAAAATGGAGGCTGACAGCCATTGTATTTGCTTGATTTTTTACTTTTGAAAATCGATTTTAGGACATTTGAAATCGAATCAGAATTTTTGTAAATGAGAATCACGATTCTGATGTGAATTTATTTTTGGTGCACCCTTAGTATATAGTAAGTTAATAAATAAAGCTGCACCTCAGTTAATTAGAAATCAGCGTTTCATTGATTATTGAAAATATAGAGATTATTCACTTATAAGAGCAAAAGGAATAAGATGTATTTCCCTGTTAAAGATAAATTGCAAACATTCAAACAAAAATGTTCTTAGAAATCACCTATTGGTTTCATTTTCAGGAAATGATAAAAATTTGAGTAAAGTTTGTATTATCTGTTGATTTTTTTTAAAGTGTGGTATGAGCATTTGGTAATAAACCTATGCCGTTCAAAAAGTTGAGCAAAATATAAAATCACAAAGTTTTGCCACCCAATGCAGTTTCCCTTAAATTTGCAAAATAGAGTGCATCGATTTTTGTAAATTTCACCTGAAGTTTGTTGGCTTGCTGCCCTCTGTGTAAAATTTGGAATAATTTGTTTGACTGTATCTCTGTCATTTTATTTTTGACATCTTTCTAGCTGAACCGGTCCACACCTCTGGTCCTTAATGGTGTCACTGTCATGAAGGGTTTAGATTTTTCCCAACTCTAGGTAGAAGCCTCATTCTTTTCAGTCTATTGTGCTGAAGTAGAGAAATAAAACATGCAGGTCAGTGATCCCCAGGAAGCAGGTTTTTGGGAGCACTTCATGATGATGTGTCACAGCCTTAACRTGAAGCATCCACATCTACCGTTACCCTTATTTGCCCCACTGTGGCCCCTTGAGCAAGGCCCTTAACCCTCCAGCTGCTCCCCAGGCACCTTAGATGGCAGCCCTCTGTTCCACAAATGTGCTCAAGTGTTTAGAAAACAGAACATAGAATGGATTTCTGCATTGCGGATTAATAAAGTAAACATTATTATTATGTATAACTCACAGTCCTATAAAGCCACTAGATTTAATTGTGCAAAGAATAACTCATTAACACAAAACCCTTTTTTTTTTTGTTGTTGCAGATTTTGACTTTGATGAAATCGACAAACCTGGTATTGAGCGGTCACGCAGGAGGAGAGGCGAAGATAATATTGTGGAGAGGTGAGTCATTATAATATGCTCACATCTTTACAGAAATATAGCTGCTCTGTTTTTATTTTGCAACTTGTTATGGAATTACTAAATTACTAATTATACTCAAGCTGCCTAAAAAAGTGAGAAGATATTCTACATTATTTTAGAGGGAACACTTGGTTTTTTAAACTGTACAAGTTGTACACAAAAAACAAACTAACAGCTTTGAGTTTAGTTATGATACATAGTCTTTATTCTGTTAAAGATAGTTTAAAAACATTTAAGAAATTTACAATTCAGCAGATAATCAAAAAGATACATTTAATCTGAAAAGCCATATAGTAGTAGCAAGCAGATTAGATCTCTTGTCTTTCTAGAATACTTGAATAACATTGAATAAAAGATGAAAGTCTTGTTTTGTGTTGTTTGTGAAGAATTGCCTTTGATAAGTTAAGCAACCTGTATTGAGATGCACTGAACTTAAAACTTTATCTTGGTTGCACAAGATAAATACCAAAACTTTTTACTTGAGCTTCATTCTGAAATAGGGTAGGGCAAAATTGGCAAAAAAATTACTCACGATTTAATTGTGGTATTTAGCCGATAACGATTAATTTGACGATTAATCCCCTGGAGTCCCTGGGACAACCTTATGTCCTAGTCACATGACCAATTTAATGGGAAAGATTTGCTCTTTATAAAAATCTGTTCCAAATTGTGTCAAAATTACATACTTCAGGCTTTACATCAAATTTTAAATTGTGTTGATTAGWGCTGGGCAGTATGACAAAATAAAAACAAACAAAAAAAGAGCTGGGCAGTATGACCCAAATTTTATATCACGGTATTTTCAACAATTATGCCAGTTTCACTGTATTTGACGGTATTTCTTTTTTCACAGCTCAGCTGAAAATAAAATGCACAAACATTGCTTATTGACTTGTTTCTTTTACCGTACCTCTGTCTGTGTTGCTGTTTCCCTCCTCTTGTAAGTCTTCTTTGCCTGCTTGTAGACAGTAATCAAGCATTTTGGTCCAATTGTGAWGGGTTGAGAAAAGATCATTATCGGGTCAATCGTGTGCTAATTAAACTTAAAAGGACGACTCACCTTGCACACCAGTCAACTCAGCTGTACTACAAAACTACTTCCCCCGGTCTTTTCACAAAAGAAGCACATTAAAGTCTCCATACATTAACGTCACCGTTATAACGTTGCGCATTAAATCTAACCATGCACGTCACAAGAATTGTTTGCTACATTCAGCGATGGTGAAAACGGAATGTTTTTTTTCTACTTCAGTCAATATAAGCAGCTGAAACACCACCCACCGCCAGTTACTCCAACAAGCTGCTCCAACAATAACTTTAGCATGCTAATGCACATAGCAGTGCTGCGAGGAAAAGTGTCGACGAAACTTTTAAACCGGTATGTCCGGTATTCAGAAAGTTCATATAACAAAAATTTAAAAAATGTTTTTTGGTACAAACGGTATACCGCCCAGCACTAGTGTTGATAGATTTAATAAATCACAGAACTTTTTATTAAATGTTCATCATATTTGAAGCGGAGAGGAGCACCGAGCGGACTCTGCCTGGTGGCATTAATCGTAATAATCGTCAAGTGCCAAAAAATAATTGATTAATGTTTTTTGACGATTAATTGCACACAATACGATTATGCCCAACCCTAGTCTGAAATAGGGCTGCCACAAACGATTATTTTAATAATCGATTAATCACCGATTATTTATTCGATTAGTCGACTAATCGAATCATTTGTTAATTGAATATAAAACATACAGCTTATCACGTCAGAATGCAGCTGCTATTGTATAACCATGGTTAGATTTTAGCTATATGCTAACTAAAAATAATTGCTGTGGAAGGCAAGTTCTGCTCTGCAGATATTATACAGGTTTCTCTTTTATTTTCTTAAAAAGATCCCACACTTTTGAGCTCTGTTGCTGGGTAGCCATGATACCAGAGCCTGTCTGTATAATGTCTTGTGACGTCCACGGCCTACCCCAGTTACCACTACTGTGCATGTGTGTCAAGGACAGAAAGGCAGATGTGGCAGTGGAAGGTGTCAAAGCAGTTTGGAGAGAAAAACAAGTAAAGAACAACAACAAAAAAGAAAACGATTAATCAGTTATTAAATTAGTCATCGATTATTTTAATAATCGATTAGTCGTCGATTAATCGATTAATCGTGGCAGCCCTAGTCTGAAACTACAATTACATATTTTCTTTTGTAATATGTAAGTATATGTTGGCAGATAAATTTGTTATATGTGCAGGTGCAGAAAATGATCTAACCATATATTTTTTAAACTCTCTTAATCCCTGTTGAAAGGGTAAAGGACTAGAAGAAGATTTTCAGATTTATGAGGCGTAGATCTGCAGTAAAACAAACTATTATTGCATCGAAAACTTGCATAACATCGTTCTACTAATCTAGTCATATTCCAAACATTTGCTGTAGTCTGGCAGCTTTATAAAGTGAGAAAAGATACAAGATATTGGAAAAAGAAGAGATATCATAGACTTTTATAAAAAAAAAATATGGGGGAAAACATACACACCAGTATTTGCTCAAATCTTAATCGGTTTTCCTCTTCTTTTTTTTAAGTGATTTGGAAGAAGATTTGTTGGAGGAAGATTGGCTGTCTGGTAAAAAGGTAAGAATAATCAACAGTCACTCTTTGTTTTTCCAATTTATTACTGGGCACCAGTAGAACAGCTTGTTTCTTTAGTGTTAATTTTGTGCTTACAAGTAGGAAAATAACATCCTGAACATTAGGTGACAACATTGTTGGAACATTTTGGAGAATAGTCATAGGTTAGTGGACTTGTAGCAGGTGGCTCCTCCACGGGGGGAATTGTTGATATGAACCAGGAGGAAGTATAGTGGACAAAAAAGCTCTGTGTTGACCTGCCCAGATTGCCTTCACCACATGGGAATAAAGCATCTCTAAGGGCTGGAGGTGGCCCCCTGCCCCCACACCTTTAACACACTCTCACATCAACAAAGTAAAGCTATCGAAGAGGAATAGTGCAAATAGAAAATAAAGGACAAGCTGATATTCTTTTTTTTAATTTGTTTTAGAATTCTTCAGAAGTGTCAGATGAAGAGTTAAACGATGACCTCCTTCAAAGTGATGATGAAGATCTAAATTTGATGTAAGTTGGTTCATTACTGTTTCCCCACCCCCACCCCAATTATACCTCATGGTGTTTCTGAAATGTTTACTGTTTTTGTTTGTCAGTGGTCAGGATGCTAGCCACCATGCTACTTACAACATGGGCACATCCTATGGACAGCAGGCCGAGTCACAGGAAGCAGACTACGCAGATGACGTTGTGAACCTGGGTGCAGAGGGCTGTGAAGATGATGAGGAGGGTTACCATCGAGAGGGTGAAGAGGCGTATACAGAAGAATACAATCAGGGAGACAACACAGAGATGACCGAAGATCAAATCGATTACACTACAGACTTAGCCCAGGATGATGATGATGGCTACCAGGATGAAGTCTTAGACATCCAAATAACTGAACCTCTAGATGGTGAATTTCAAGTGAGTTTTCACTTTTGCTTATTACGCTACCGTAAAAGTGTATACACACACTCACACACAAACACATGAACACATTCTTCAACCCACCCTTTCTCTCCATCTCTATTATGTCCCAGAGATAATGTCAGTTTTCTTGTCTCGCTTGGGAAGAAGTCGGGATTAAAAATCTATTCAGGTGAAGATGTTGGCTAGCGTTTTTGGGCAGAGGACGATGAGAATCATTATCGCTTCCTGCCAGCAAATTTCTCCATCTTGCTGACAAAGTTTAGTTGACAGCTTGTTTGGCACTAGGTAATGCTCTGCTGTCGCYTCCGAATCCCGCTGCCATTGTGACCTTGGGTCCTGTATCTTTGGAGGAGAAAGAAGCCGCTTTGTGTTGGGGAGATGTGCTGCCAATCGGCGGGGGTTAATGTGGGCGGCTTTTATTTCTCAGGGTTTAGACTGGATCTGATAAAGTCTCATGCAGGTGAAAAGATTATTGACCTTCCTGAGGACACTCCATACAGTTTTCTRATGATTGATGGGAGTTTCTCTTTTATTCGTTTCCCTTTCCTCTTAGCCTGGGCTAAGAGGATCAAAGATAAGACCAGATCTATGTGCAAATGTCTGTTATGGTCCATTTACCATGGCGTGATTGTGTTTGGCACCTGACAGAGATATATTAGCCTGCCTACTAAAAACAAAGATAAGATATTGACCTTCTTAACCAAAGTCACTGCCTTTTTTTGAATTTTGGAAGATGTCTGTTGGTATGGATGTGTATTATGGCTGTTTACAAGGTCACTAAACTGCTTGGCCTTGACATTTTGCTCACTATTGAGGATTACGTGGAACATTTTCAATGATTAAGCTGTTCCCTTCCCCTGGGGCKGTCTGTTCATTTGTCTGGTTTGCTCGGAGTGTTTTTTTTCTTCTGCATTTGTATGTGCTCTGGGTAGCAGGTTAATGCAGTACAACAGAAACCACCATTGTATGACCTACAGGCTGACCTTATTTARCAAATATTTGTTATTCTGTGGGAGGATTAGTCATTTGTTTATAAACAATTCTGCACCTTTTTTCTAGTAGATTTTAATAAAACCACAGAGTTTTTCACTTATAATTTGTTCAAATTGTTTATATCAACTGACTGCATCATAGGTTGAACTCAATCTTGTTATGGAAAATAAAAGAAAAGCGATTTGTCATCCCAGAATGTCTGCCTCTGTGCTCTATTTTCGACATGGAGTCATGAATTTACAGTGCGGCCAATAACAGAGTGATTTGTGAGGAGTCAGTCAATGATATTTTCAACATCACTGAAGCGGGGAGGAGTGTTTTTATCTGTGCCTGCATTTCTGTATATCATGTCAAACATTTACATCTCATTGAATTTCAAATGGTGTCAGGAATAGTAATGAAGCCTTGCTCCCACTGTTATGGTAATTTGCCTTTGGAAGGGGTGGGGTTCCCTGGTGCCTCCCCAAATCCTCACCAAAACATTTTAGTCTGCATTTTCTTCATTTTTTTTTTTCATTTTTTTTTCTTGATGTTTAAATTCTATTATGTCTGAAACGTGAGCTCTGTACATTTTCCTGCATTTCACCTATTTGGCTCATCGATTTGTCTGTCTGTAGGACTGCTACACACCATAATAAACACTTTATTATTATTATTTTACCACAATTGCGTTAAGCAGTTGATTTGGCTATCAAATTAATGCTGCAATCTTACTCTTACTTTTTAAATCAACTTGGAAGGATGAAGATTATGGCGAATTTGAAGCTACACGGGATGAAGATACTGAGGAAGTGGGAAGGGAAGAGCAGCAAAATGAAGAAGACACAGCCCCTGAGGCATCTCAAGTTTGTGACACAGAGAAGGTAAACCAAAACCTTACACATTAACATTTCACTAATTTTTGAATCTGTAGTTAAAACATAACTCTGGATATGAAATAATAGTCATAGCTTTGTGACTTATTTAC